CCGCCGTGCCGCCGGTCCGATGTCACTTCTGGAATGCCCGGCCGCACCGTCCCTGCCATCCCGGGCCGTCCGCCGTCCGGCGATATCTTTGCGTGCTGGGCTCGCATGAGATGGTGTGGCGAAGTGGCCATGCGCGGCCCGGCCCATAATGCAGTGGAGTCTGGGACGCTGCGCCCGGGCCGCGGTGGGGACGGGGGAGGGGGAGGGTGGGGGCAACGCGCCTGCAACTTGGAGCGATAATCGAGTCAAGTGTGTCGACGAGAGAGATGCAACTTGTGGATACGTCGGCCACCGTCCCATCCGCCACTGCCTCCCCGGGCCGGGCAGGGGTCGGTGGCGGGTTTCACTAGGAGCTGCCAGCGAGCAGCCCCGACCCAAATACTTGCAGTCTGGCTGGAGTACGCACTGGAGTCTGCAACACTACGCTCGCTGCTCCTGGCTCGGCCCCGCCAGCGTTGGCGCGTCGAGAGCGAAGCACGGTTGGCAAAAAATCGCAGGTCCGGGCAGGTGGGCGCGCCATTCGGTCCTGGCATCGGTCCTCTCCTGGAGCCGAGCCTGGGGCCCCCTCCCCGCATTCCCCGCCGGACGTTCACGAGCGCGCCGGCGCCGTCTCGCTGTCGGATGTTTGGCATGCAAGTGCATACGGCGGATGGGCGGTCCGCGGCGTGCTGGAAGCGAGGCTGGAAGGCTGCCGAGACTGCACGACAAGGGAAGGGGGCGGCGCGCCGCGGCGGACAGAGGGACTCGCGGGTCGTTTCGGTTCCAGACAGTTGATGAGCTGCGCCCCAGTAGCGACAGAATGACGTCACACAAGCCACTCGGTTGTACTCTTCTGCGCGGCCACCGTGTCCATCTCTCTCTCTCTCTCTCTCTCTCTCTCTCTCTCTCTCTCTCTCTCTCTCTCTCTCTCTCTCTTGGTTTCGCTGCCTTTCCCCTCTCTTTGGCGGGCACACGCGAGCGCGTCTCCAGGGCCCATTGCGGGCCGCAGGGGGGTGTGGCGGGCTAACGGGGCCATCACGGGGTTAGTTCTAGCTGCCGGAGTTTTCACCGCACTTCCATGATAAAAGTGTAGAGTCAGCGCTGGTAATTAAAGCACGGCGGCAAAGGAGAAGATAAAAATGACAAAACACGAAATAAAAGTACACACACACACCTGTGACTCCACCCCCGTGAGGTGGCTTGTGTGAGCGCGCTGAGCTCGAGTTACATTCATGATGTTGTCGTCAGCACCACCCGGCGCATGAGTCGTTTCGCTATTCGCTCAAAACAATCCCTCTCCAAAAAAAACCACAACAACAAAAATAATGAAAACAAAAACATTGGATGTGTATGCATTAAAAACTAATGCGACGACTTTCTTTCTCTGCCTTGTCGATTTGTGCTTTTGTGGCGGCCCAGTTTCGCGCCAATGAGACACCAAGGGACTGTGAGGCACGGCGACCTATATTCAAGCTTCGCGCCAAAACAACGGACGACCCGAGCTTCGCTGCGTGGGTCAAGGCCAGGTGTAGCAGGAGATAAACACGATGTGCTGCTGGGTGGTGCTCATCGTTCGTGCCACCTTTCTTTGTCCGTCCTCGCCAAATTTACGTGTTTGGCCAGGAGCGAAGTGACGTCGCTTTTCGTTTTGCACCCTCAGGTTCGGCCATCGGTTCCCTACTTATCTTTCTATATTTTTTATCCCACTACGGATAGCCCTGTTGCCTCACCCAGCGGAGTCCCCAGACCATGGTGGTCGAGGGCGCATGGGCGTCCTTATCCGACGCGAAGATCAGGCGATCGAAACCCAGGGTTCGCACGTTTTCAGTTTACGCTTGAAATCAAGCGTCGCAGGCTCTTCCTCCAAGATACCGCCTATCTAAATGCATGGGGGAATTTCCAGAGCATGCTTCATTTCAAGCGTAACGTCTTGATGCTTGATTCAAGCATAGAGTTACGCTTTAGTTTTACCAGTGTGGCCCCACGGGGCGGATTGCCGGCAGACGGATCGCTTCCTGCACGAGGCGATGCATTGGTTCGACTGCAGCACTGCCTTGGCGGGGCGGAATGCGAGGCAGCCTGGCCATGCACGCTGCTACACTGCTTGGGAGCTGTAAACCGGGACCACTCGCCCCTTCTCCAGTGGGCCCGGCTCGGCCCGGCCGCTTCGATCCGACCGCCTGGACACACAGTGGACACACACCGGCGGGCACTGGCTCTGCCACGTGTGCGGCGGGCGGCACCCAACTCGGCCCGAAGAGCAGGCACCACTACTTGGACACGCCTCAAAGGGGACTCAGCCCCACGGGTGTAGTGGATTGGTCCCCTAACGAGGAAATCTATTCACCCCGCTTGCCCTTCATTCGGTGCTATTTAAGGACTGCAAAGGTCAAAGGGCAAACGCGGAATGAGAGGGGGGCATCGAGGTTCGGAGTGACTTTCGGCGGTCACTGCGTGCTATCCAGGCCGGGTTTCACAACCCGTCGACGGGGTAGCGTATTCTTTGATGCTTCCTCTAGCGTACCTTTTCTGCGGAGTGCGATTTCTCACCTCTCACTGCACCTCCCGGGAGCAGTCTTGTCACTCGTCAAAATTGTGCCCAATGTGTAGAAACTTCGGCACTAGTGGGTACCAGTGAATGCCCCCTCGGGGTGGGACCAAAATGAGCTTAGAAGAGGGGAGAAAAACAGCTTTCTCAGCAAAACAAGGGAAGGCCCAAACTTGAAATCTGCATGTAGAATAAAGCGCAACATGCACTCGGTGAATAAAAGCCAAATCCTGGGAAGGCGCATGAAACATGGGTTTTGGCCGCCTAGTCTGGTGCCCTGGGCCACTGCAGCCAGGCGGTACCTCGGCCCCTCGGCTCCTCGGCGCGGCCGTGGGAGCGAGAAGTGGCGCGGCAGTCGGCGACGCTAAGCTCCTATTGCTACGCAGAATGTATGAATGGTAATTCCCTGCGGCTTCCCGCTGATTAAACCCGCCCAACTACAAGCGGATTTCACTCCCCTCCGCCTCCTCGTCCGCCCGCTTGCCCCGCGGCGTCTCACCCTCCACGACGTCCACCGGGGGATTAATGATTTCTTCCCCGAAGATGGAAAGAAGTCGGAGCGGCCGGCCCGGCGGCTTGGGATGCACTCGAGAGAGGGGCGCGGCCATGATCGGTAATAAAACCAGAGACAGAGACGTACGCAGGGCGGCCGGGCGGGAGCGAGGGAGAGGGCCGTAATCCGAGCACCAAATCATGTCGTAGAGTCAGTGCCTCGGAGCGTACAGCAGAAGGGGAAGAAAGAAAAAAAAAAAAGTTTGACGGAATGACATGGTCGTTACTGAAGGGGATGCTTTCGCCCTGTATTCCTGTATTCGCTCGGCAGCACCCAGTGCGGCTGCCCATGGCCGTTATGAGAGGCTTCACTCAAAGGCGGCATTCCCGGTGCAATTTGAGGCGCAACAACGGAATTATGTTCCACGGCATCCTCACGTCGTTCCGCCAGGGCACCGCAAGTTGGGGGAGGGGGGAGGAAGGCGCCACCTAATCTGCAATTATTTACAACAGCGAGCACAAATCCGCGGGAAGGAAAAGCCGCCGTGAGAGCAGAATCCTGTTATCGTCCGCACGAAGTGGAGCGAGCGGGGCGCGGGGCGGGGCGGAAAACCGCCGTCACGTCGCACGCACCGCCGCCAGTCCGCGAGTCTGCGAACCGACGCCGACACGGCCGCCTCGTGGAGAGCAGCGTTCGGCAGGGTGGCGCAGGCGGAGCGGCACAGGCGGAGCGGCAGGGGCCAAATGGTCGGCGAGACAAAGCGCGCCTATTAAAGTTGCACGCGGCCTGGCCACGCCTGGCACGCGCTATAGTTTACCATTACCGCGCGGCTCGCCCACGCATGGCCCGCCTAATTGAGAGAGAGCCTCACACCGAGCGGGAGGCCGCCGTCGGTCGGTCTCCCTCGCACCCGGGACGCCTCACGAGTGTATAAGTAGGAAAGAGGAATTCCTGCGCGGCGCGAAGGACAGCTCGGCGGGAGCCAGCCCCTCTCAGTCACGGCGGACCAGTCTTTGTTGAGGCCCGGAGCCTCGTTTGAAGCCGCCTGATTGCAGGATTACAGTCTTGAGGGTCACTCCCTTCGAGGAGCCCCTTGCAGCGTAGGCCACGCAGCCCCGCTCCGTGCACCCGTGTGTGGCGGGCCGGCCTACCCCGCCGAACGCAGGCGCGCTGGGCAGAGCGCCGGGCCTGCCTGCCTGTGCGCCTGTGCGGCGGGTCTGCCGATAGCAGGCAGAGGGGCGCGCGGAGTAACTTTGTTGTTACGTTCGTTTCTTACGGGGGAAAAACTCCAGTTAGGGCGCTCCTCGGCGCTTGCTAGGTTGCATGTCCGCCGGAGCGTGAGGCCGCTCCCCCCCCCTCCCTCCCCCACTGTAATGGAGCCAACACTGCCGTACCTACCGCTGCTGTCCTTGCAAGTTTCCCTGACGGCAGCGCGGCGCGGCGGGACGACATTGAGTCGTGTTTGGGTCTACAGCGTTACAGCCCGCAATCCCGGGCTCTTTTACGGCCCAGCGGCCTGGCCTGGGCTGGCGGCATGGCCTGGCCGCCTGGCTGGCTGCCTGGCTGGCCGCCTGGCTGGCTGCCTGGCTGGCCGCCTGGCTCGCCGCATGGCTGGCCGCATGGCTGGCGGCATGGCCTGGACGCATGGGCCTGGGCGGCCCCGGCTGCCGCGCCGTCAGACGCCGCCGTCGCCCTCAGAGGGAAGATGCACGCGCACTCAAAGTTGGAATAAATAAACAGCGTCTGGGCAACTTAAAAAACGATGCGACCCCTCGGCTAATGGACTGTTTTCCAGTCCGGCAGTCAAAGCGAGTTACGGAATCGGAGAATGCTGGGCTGCACGCGGCTGTGCCTCGCCCTTGGGCTCGCCTGCCCCGGGCAAGGGGCAAATGACGTGCGAGCGCAGCGAGCCATTTCAAGCCCAGAAGCCCCTGTTTGGAAAGCAAAAGGTAAACATGACACAAATCGAAGGGTACTTACACACGACGTGGAGCTCGCCGGCCACCATCTCGGTGTGGAAGTTGGGCTGGTCCGCGGAGACCTCGCAGCGGTACTTGCCCGACATGTTGAGGCGCACGGCCTTGAGCACCACCTGGTGGGCGTCGGATAGGCTCACCTGCGGGCAAAACAAGGACGGAGTCAGCAAAAGGCGCGCGCCGATTCGAAGCGGGGCACTCTAACGGCATCTCCACATCAAAGGCTAACAAGGGCAAGTCTTTGAATGCTTGACCTTAGCCGCGCAAATTAATGAAGGGCTCGGCATCAAGTTACAAGTTTAAGTGCTGCTCGCTGCTGCGCTAGTTGGAGGCGGGCGAGGCGGGCAAGGCGTGCGCCTCAAAAAAATAACAAGTTGCCCTTTCTGTTTGGAAAGGAGAGGCGGAGCGGCGGGAGGCCGCCGTTCGTTTCTGTTCAACCTTGCCCTCGCTTGGCTCCGCTCGGCTCGCCCGCCGCCAACAGGGTGCGTCTGCACCCACGAGAGAAAGGGCCGGTGAGTAAACTATATTTCAGCCGGAGAAGCGTTTCCAGAAAGCTCCGGAAAATCAAGTTTAATGTCTGATGGCCACTAATAATTTCACCCTGAAAATAATACTGTTTCTAGTTGGAGGAAAGTCCTTCAAGATATGAACTAAGGCCCAAGTAACTACTCATCTTATTCCGATCACTCGTGTAAATCTTGTCAGAACGTCAGAAACCTGTCTGAAAACCTGATCAAAATTCGCGCACCTCTGAAAGCTGAAAGCTTATTCTGACATTCTGAAGAACTCGGGCCATCAATTGTAGGATAAGTTTTCAGAATTTCAGCTTTTAGAGGTGCGCGAATTTTGCTCAGGATTTCAGGCATGTCTCCGACATTCTGACAAAATTCACACGAGGGATGGGTTTTCATATTTCGAGAATGGGCTGTAGCTTTCAGCACAAGCCGCACGCGTTTTGACGTGTCTTTCCCGTCCTAGCCTGCAAGGGCCTCGCCGCAATTGTACCACCTCGCACCGCCAGACCAAACATAGTCACGACCTCACCAGTTTGTGCCGTCTGCCACGACCAGCTGGGGAAGGACACGCAAGCCGAAAGAGCAAAACAATTTTTAACAAATCCCCAAATGGGGGGGCCCCAAAGGGGCCCCAAGTGGGGGGAAGGGGGATCCCCGGAAGGCAGGGTCCTGCCGAGTTTACAAAAATCCTCCCGGGGCCGGCGGAAGGGGGCGGGGAAAAAGGGGGGGGGGTGGACGCCCACAGCGGGCGGGGGGCCAGGCGTCGCCCACTCGGGCGAGCGAGGTTGCGCCAAAGGGGTAAGCCCGGGGAAACGCGTGTGAGTGTGTGTGTGGGTCGACGACGGGCAGTGGGGGTGGCAGCGGCGGCACGTACGGCGGGGTGGGCGGGGAAGTATCGAGGGGGACATGCAAGACGCTCCATAACATCCGCTGACGCCGAGCTACCCCCAAGGAGATGGCATTGATTACGCAGATTGGATTTATTGAAAATGTTTGTTGTACTTTTGGTCCCAAATGTATTACTTTTACGGGGTGTTGCGGCCGAATACCTCGACGTTGGTACGGGGAACCAAAGGGCCCCTCCCCCTCCCCTCCGTCACCTTGCCCTGCCGCCACGACCCACGCGTCACCAGAAGATACAGCGCAACGGCGGCGACAAGAATTAGCAGCCGGAAGCGGGGCGAAGCGGGGCGAGGCGCCGCTGAGGCAGTCGGTGAGCGCGCCGGAAATTGGGTGCGACGCCATTTAGTTAGCATATTTAATAAAGCACGTCCGAGTGACGCCATTGAATAGCAATACTGTGTCGCCACGTCGTCGGTCGCCCTGGCCACCCAAGGGGGAGGGGGGAGTCGCTCATGAATCCGAGCAGGCCGCCCAGATCTGGCCCAGATCGCAAACACAGATAGCCACTAAATGTCTTTAGTTGCGAGTTATGCAGGCTCGACATCCTGCTGCGCTCCCCCTCCCCTTCCCCCTCCCCTCCGCCCCCTCCTCACCCCGCAGCCTGTCGGTCGGCAATGAATTCGGTCTTTCCGTCCCCATTAGTGGATTAGCGCCGATAAATCCGCAGCCGCGGACAATTATCGAGGCAGGGTCGCCTTTTCGCTCATTAGCACATTCGGTAAATAGATTGTTTGCGCGGCGGAGCGTGACACGCGTGAAGCCGTGAAGAGCATGAAGCACGTGAAGCCGTAAAGCACGTGAAGCTGTGAAGCACGTGAAGCGCATGAAGCCGTGAAAAAACGTGAAGCTGTGAAGCACATGAAGCCGTGAGGCACGCGAAGCTGAGAAGCAGTAAAGCCGTGAAACATGTGAAAAACGTGAAGCTGTGAAGCACGTGAAGTCGTGAAGCACGTGAAGCTGTGAAGCGGTGAAGCCGTTAAGCCTGCGGTGCTCCTGTGCCTGTGTAGGGGCCCGGGCGGGCCCGGGACATAACTGTGGGGCACTTTTTCAGCTCTGTGCGGTCAAACTCACAGTAAGACTGCAATCAAGCACATGATAGTACTGAACATTATTCCTTTAACAGGCAGTCCAAGTAGGGCGTGTCATTAAGGGCTGAGGGGCTGACTGCTCCCTTAAAAGAGTCCTGCGTGGTGAGTTGTGTCACCTGACCGCAGCCACCTGCCCACCGCAAGGAGAGTCCCACCCGCAGAAATGCACAGCTCGCCTCGGCTCGCCTCACGGGCCGGGCAAGGAGGCACGCCGGCCCGCTCCAAGTTGCACTCGTTCCCACCCCCTTCCCTCCTCTTTCGCAGCCAGGGTCCGTGACGGGACAGCAGGAAAGGAGAGAGGAGATAGTGGCCAAGTTACAGCAGCTGTGCCGGACACGGGGTGGGCGGGCCTCGGGCGGGCCTCGGGCGGGCCTCGGGCGGGCCTCGGGCGGGCCTCGGGCGGGCCTCGGGCGGGCCTTGGGGTGGGCCTGTCCGGCCGCAGCATGGTCCTGAGCCAGCTCTGTTGGCCCCTGTGGTCTCTGCCATTTTTCTGGCCCCGTCTTTGGTGGCCCCCTGCCTTGGTCCCTTCCGTGTCCCGAACCCACCCCACGCAGGTGTGGGCTCCCATAAAACACACAGGGGAGCCGCAGGCAAGCCAGGCCGTCTCTTTCTCTCTCCGCGTCCCTGAGTCCGTGCCCGCTGATAGGGACCGTGCGATCGGCCGCTAGCCCAAGGACCCCATATCGGCGAGGGCGCAAGCTTAGGTCCGCAGTTTGTTAGTTCCCGACAAATAGGACGACGCACTGCACGGGCGTCATCTCCCGGGGCGGGGCGTGGTGGGCCGATGTGGGGCACGGCGATAACACCCTGCGAGGCAACACATGCTGGGGGACCTAAGCAGGGCGGCTGTAGATACGATCTGCGGGAAGAAATTGAAATTGGAAAAACAGTGGTGAAATATCGCGCGACCGTGTTCCCACATACGTGGTCGGCGCGGCGACACCGCCCAAGTTGGGCGGGTGGGGCGGCCCTTGGCGCAGGCCGCGGTGGGGCGGGGCGGGGCGGGCGGCGGGGGAGGCCGAGATGCGAGGGATCTTCCCGCATCGATCGCAAGCACTGCGAGACTCACTGGCAAGCGCACTTTCTCGACAAGAAGAAATCCCGACCGGGCAGCCCGTTTGGTGCGTGCAGTGCGTACCGCGTAGCGCCACACCGGCCACACCGGCCACACCACCGTCGGGCCTCAATCAGAGCGGTGCGGCGCGCACCAATGAGCCTGGCCGTGTCGGCGGGGCGGGGAGGGGCGGGGCCGGTTGCTGATCACCATTGTCCCGGAGTCTCATTGTGACGGCCGGCCTGGTGCGAACCGGGGACCGCAGCGCGAGAAAAGAAAAGTAAGAAGACAGCAAAAAGGAGGTTCGATGGAGCATTGGCGGCCGCCAGCGCGTCGCGTGGATCTTTGTGCAGGATGAGTCGAGCCTGGGCGGGGAGGGCGCGGGAGGGCGCCCCCCGGGGACAAACCCCGCCGAGCCCCGCGCTCCGTGCGCAGGCCCGCCAGGCCCGCCAGGCCCTCGGGATGCCGGACGGTGCTGCCTCGTGAAACGCCCCGGCCCACTTCCCAGCCGAGCCGACATTATTTCAGGGGAGATGAGTTCCGAGCAGGGTCTTAGATTAGTCTCACCGGCCAGCGAAAATCTCTTTTCCATCCATTTATGATTAAATTCCTGTGGGTACCTCTCGGTGGCAAGCTGGTTCCGCCCCAGGACATGTCGCCGCCCCGCCCCGCCCCGCCCTTCGGCTGCCGTGTCGCTTCCTGCCGCCCCGCCCGCCCCGCCGGCGCACTATCAGCCAGAAAAGATTTTCGGGGCGAGCAAGCGCACTGAAAATACCACCGCCACCACCGCGGGGCCGCGCCGACCGGGCGGACGGGTAGTGGGGATTTTATCAAGACGACACGGCTGGCGCGGCGGGGTGCGGCGGGGTGGGGCCGGAGACGACGCCACGCCTTGGTGCGCCTTTTCCGTCGCTGGGAGCCGTGCTGGAGGCCTAGGGGCTTCAAAACGAAACTGCCTGTCGGTCTGTCTGGCCGTCGGCTGCTATCTCCGTCGCCCGTCCGACGGCGACTCCACGAAAAAAAGAAAGTTCCAACAGCGCGGATGACCTTCGTTCCATGGCGGCTCGATTGAATTCGTGGCACGGCGCGCTCGTCGCGGCGAGACACTCGCTGCCTGCACCGCCACCGCCAGGCGGCCACGGCGATGGACAAAGGCGGCGCACTCCATCTTACTTTGGGGGCCTTGGCGTGGCTGTGGCGCCGGTAGGTCCGTGAGGCGGCGGGACGGGGCGCGCCGGACTGTCCACAACGCCGACGGTGGCCGGCGACGGTCGAGTCACGGATTGGAGGGGCCATGTTTCATTCCCTCTGAAGCTGCGCACGTACAAATCTAGTTGGCGGTGCCCCGCTGGCTCGCCCGCTGCCCGCCCCACCTCGCCGCTCGCAGCCACCAGGCGACCGTCGTGCAAGTTTCACTGCGACCCCGTCCCGCCGTCCCGTGCACGCTCACAAACACACGGAGGAAATGAAGGGACGAGTTGGACGGGGCGACGAGGTGGGGCGCAAACTAGCCTCGCGTCGGGTGGCGCTCGCCAATCATGAACCTGCCGTGCGAGTCAAGGCGTCTCACACGGCGAGGC